AGGTCTCCTGAAGTCTAAAGAGGTGCTACACCAACTGAGTTGTCTGGCCACTGATGATCAAACCTGTCTGACCACCACACTCCTCCTTAAATGTCTTTGCCCCTGGAACTAGTGAAAAGTTCAAAAGTTCAAAACACCAATCCAGATTCCTTAGCCCCTTGCAGGACTTTTACCTGCTAGTATTTTTAGTCCCAGTTTCAATGGCACCAAATGTAACAGAAAAATTTATAGATCAGACCAGGATTCAAACCCAGACCCCTGAACTCAGTTGCTCTGCAAACTGAGCTATCTGGCTACTGGCAACCTAACTTACATGTCTGCTGTTGGCCACAAATACATTGAAATTATACAAGGCTCCTAAGAATAATTTAGATATATTAATCATCTCACTGTGGTGTATATTTCATATGCAACATCATGTTCAAGAAGCCTGATGATTGATAAAAAGACATTTTTAAGGCAGTTTTTAAATTATCGTATATAAATACTGCACCCAGAAAAAATATTGTCATCCAACATGACCAAGGTTGTGCTGTCATGGGTAACTGGATGTTTCACCCATCTCGCGCCGAGACCATTCACCCTTAAGACCTTTTGTGCTGAGACCTTTCACGTCGCATATTTTCTATAAATATTTAGATGTGTGTATCTATTTGCATAGTTTGTATGGACTTTATTGATGTTTCATTACTTTTTAAGTTGTTTATGTCCGATTTAGAAAGTACTTTTTATTTGAAAATCCTTCAACTGCAATCTTTAATAACGATGTTCAAGCTATGCATGCTTAACATAAAGCCTATAAATTTATGTGTATGGGTGGGTTGTTTGATTTAGTGAATTTAAATAAAATGTAAGTGTATAATACTGTACATATATCACTATAAAATATTGTCAAAAAGACATATATGTATCTCAGATCAGTAAACCCATTTATGGTATAATAAAAATATTAAAATGCGTTGTGTTACATTATACGTAAAATTATTTACTTTATTTAACAAAGACCGTCAATAATATGTATATGTAATTAAAGTAATATGGAAATCAGAATAATCATTGGAATAATTAATAATAATACAAAAGTCGCTAAAAAGGTAATAATTACATACCGTAAAACGTGCTACTACACCACTTACACAGGATTTGTTTCATTTTGTGTATGGTATGGTACGTTTTGTGAATGGTGCGGTTTGCTTTGTGAACGGTATGGTTCGTTCCGTGCACAGTACGGTATATTCTCTTTCGAGAAGTGGACAGGCTTTTGCCTACATCTAGTTGAAAGCCTGTTCACTTCTCTAAAGAGAAAAGGTACGGTTGGCTTCTTGCACAGAATGGTTGTTTCGTTTCTGAGGTGTAGTAGCACATTTTAGAGTCTGTACTATTAACAAGGGATAATTACGATCAATTAACTGGTTAAAGGAAATCATGGGGTACAACTGGTGCGAATCGTCTCGGAGCGAAACGCTTCAGCGCGAATGGTCTTTAGGGGGCGAACCGTCCAACATTCCTGTCATGCATAATGCACACCTGGTGACCTGCAGAATACTGATTGATTTACACTTGTTTTTACAAAAAATATTTATATTTAACGCTATCTTGAGTTACAAAGATGTTCAATCTAGAAAAGTTCCATTGTGGTCAGCACAATGTTGTTATAAAACAATCCGAAATTCCTCTAAACGTAATGACCATGACCGTTCTCATTTTTAAAAAAAGTTGGTTAGATCTACATCGTAAAAGCTATGATAGACCAGACCTGTTTTCTCCGGTAAAAATCTTTATCGTAATCCATCATTCAGCAAACTGCCTTAACTGCTTAAAAACTTGCGTAACTTTCCGAAAACTGTTACTCTTGGTTCCTTCTCTTGCTATCGCAATGAGAGTGTTTTTCCTAATTGCGTTGCAAGAATGGCGTGATACGCTAAATGGATTATCTTTCTTTCCTTGTCAGTATTTCACGTTCTTCTATCATATCATCTAACTGTGTCTCGGGACAAGCCCTCGTGACTTGGGCCTTAGGGCAATGTATCATTTCTAACAGGTCAGGGCGGCCCCCATTTTCCGGAGGATAGCTAAGTTAAATATGACGGCCATTTTTTTTAACCACATATGATTTTGGAGATTAACACATGTAATTTTCAAAGGCCACGTGCCTACCTTTAATGGAAAAGTGCATGCACCAGAGTATATGCAAGTAAAAGTTCAAACTTTAAACACTGTCAATTGTTGAGCTTAACAATGTGGTGGCATTATTTTTCGGGAAAAAAAAATAATTTAGACATCGGACGGTATAACATGTAATTAATAATTTGTTGAACTCTTTTATTCTCTCTTTTTTGTGTGTGAGACTATAATTAATGGGTTGTCAATCCCTTTAGCAAGTAACACAACAGTTTTAAATTGGATATCCGAACCTCAGCCAGGAAGGATAACTCTTAAATTTATCATTTTATTTAAAAAGTCTCAAATTGAAGCTTGAAATTGGGATCTTTTCGTCAATTTTCATTTTATGTATCTCAATAGGATTCAAGGTTTTTTTGAAGTCTTAGAAACGGTCTTGTGAAATGTTGACATTTGTACCCCATAAAACAAATTGAATTTCCCTTAATCTATCATTAGATACCAATGCTTATTTGCATGACATGAAATTACACATGATATATGAATGATAGCGCAATCTTTTTACACAATGTATTATATATAACAATTGAAGTAAATAGAAGAACTAAAATACTACATAAGCATAAAAAGATGCAATTTTCTCCAAATACCTGGATACCTATACTTTTTGTTATCCTAAAATATATTTGTTGATCAATTTTCAATTAAAAAAATGAATAGCTGGTGTTTTTACTCGCATTTCCTGAAAATATATTTGAGATTTGATAATTTTCCCTATATGATATGATTAACTATAATGATGAACTTTGAAGAAATACCATGGGTAAATTCATGTCACTCTCACAGGCACTTGGGGTCTGGACCCCCCCCCCCTTTTCCATTTTTTTTTAAATATAGAGTCGATTCACCTTTTTCCTATTTTTGTATTCTAATATGCACTATATGTTATCAATAATGTAACTCTTTTGTCTCTATATGCTGTTTTTAAATATACCGTTTTCGACTGATACATAAAAAGAGAGAAGGCTTGCAACTCTTTTCTCATCGTCTGCCTCACCTCGCTTAAACTTCGCCTGATTATTTATCGAAAGAATAAGAAAACATGGAATATGCATACATCAATAAATTCGTTATACATTCTTCTTTCTTTTCATATTTCCATTTAATTTTTATGTGCCCCCGATTTGTAAATATTTCGATTAAATCATCCGCATCTAGGGTAAATTTTGTTGATGTGCACCAGCTGGGACGGAAGTGCAATAACGGTAACTCTAACTTTATAAATGTTCTGCATTAAAAAAAATTCCAGGCTTTGTAATAACAATATTGTGGAATTTGGTTGTCTAGGTCGTCTATTTAAAGTATAATCTTCATCCATTAAAATTTGCTAGTTAAAGTTATCTTGTTATTCACAGAACTTACCGTTACATGTTATATGAAGAGAAAATTCGGGATGTATTCCTTCTCGCATTTAATGTTCCGAATTACATTACATGTAATGATGATACCCGAAAATACCGGGCACTTCCGTCCCAGCTGGTGCACATCAACAAAATTTACCCTAGATGCGGATGATTTAATCGAAATATTTACAAATCGGGGGCACATAAAAATTAAATGGAAATATGAAAAGAAAGAAGAATGTATAACGAATTTATTGATGTATGCATATTCCATGTTTTCTTATTCTTTCGATAAATAATCAGGCGAAGTTTAAGCGAGGTGAGGCAGACGATGAGAAAAGAGTTGCAAGCCTTCTCTCTTTTTATGTATCAGTCGAAAACGGTATATTTAAAAACAGCATATAGAGACAAAAGAGTTACATTATTGATAACATATAGTGCATATTAGAATACAAAAATAGGAAAAAGGTGAATCGACTCTATATTTAAAAAAAAATGGAAAAGGGGGGGGGGTCCAGACCCCAAGTGCCTGTGGTCACTCTATGAAATCAGAGACATTTTTGTGAGCATTTTCAATTACCTAAAAGCTGATTTTCAGAACCTGAGGGTCGGACTACCTTAATCCAAGGCACCATTATAATGTATTTATAGCAGGAATTTACACTAAAATGACATTAATTCGTCCGATCAAATATTTTAATTTGTCCGAACGAATTTCTAATTTGTCCGAACAAATATCTAAATTGTACGAACAAACATCTAATTCGTAAATTCGCCCGAACAAATAAATATTTTTTTCTGGCCCTCCAACGACGCCGCACCAAATGAGATGAACTAAGATCAGAAGCTATTGTAGGAAAAAAAAATCCGTATTTAAATAAGTACAACTATTAAGTGTCTAAAACTTTTCTGGGGTTTGTTATTTTGAAGAAAAAAAAAAGTTAGCTTTTAAGTAAAAAAAAAAAAAAAAGGTTGTGAATTCATTCTTCGTGTATCCCATCTGTTAATCTACTTATGATCTGTTTTAATGTATGTGCTATTTATCATGTACACGTACAGAAGCATCATACCTTTTTCTGTTTGTATGTGCTATTTATCATGTTTCATGTGTAGAGGATAGTCATACCTCAGCAATTTTCTGTGTATTAATATTATAAATATTAAGCAAATAAAGAACATAAACTGACATGATTCTGAATTCATTTTTTCTTGGTCAGTGCGCCACCCAATGCACACAGTGCCCAGCGTTTATCGGTGATATTTGAGTGTGTCCAATTTTAGGTAATTGAAATGTGCACACCTGAATATTTTTAAAACCTTCTTATACCAAAGTTTTAAGCAACAATTGGCTGTTCTCAAATCGTTTAAGAGGATTAAGTTTGTATATACGTAATGTTCAGAACTTTGTGCCAGTCCAATTTTATCCGATTGTGTATTGTTAAATGCTATTAGACAGAGTTCAGAGCACATTGATGTTAATGTAAACATTCACTTTCGAGCTAACTGTTGTGAAAGGCAGATGGATTCCCCGGACAGGGATAACTTCTTTGATAAATTTGTTGACAGAAGAAAGATTTTTGATAAACAAGATTGCATTCAATGCTTTCAACGTTACGACATTGACAGGTGAGTAAAAGTTTTATTTTTGCGATAAAAATCAAAAATATTGAGTTCTGCTGTAATTTCCTTTGATCAGTTGATGTGGGCTATATCTCATTGTCTGCCCACTTCTTTATTCTGCTGCAGTCAAGGTGTTAATTAAGTTGGCAGAGAGCTATTTACAGTATCTTATAGAAATATTTATAAAACACTTTTAAATTGGGGTTCCTTATATTGTTTATAACAGAAAAAGACTCGATCAGTTCAAAATTATTATTTATCATTTTAGAAGGTTGTGATGTACAGGTTAAATCTATTATTATATGATCTGGTAATTTTATAATATTTTTTTTTTAAAATACAAATTTTTTAACTGTTAATTGTATTTAGCTATTTAATTAATTAATTATCAGAAATGTTATTCAAAGACGGTATATATTGCTCAAATTAAAAACAAAAACAAAAAAAACTGTCAATTAAAACTAGAGTTAAAAAAAATATTATTGCAAAATGTTTACTCCAGACAAAATAAATATACATATGTACCTTTTTATATTTATTTTTATAGGATTTTTATTTTCCAATAGCCTACGAAATTAAAAAGTTCAACCAAGTGAAAATTTACCATCCTTCAGTAATTTTATTGAAAGGTATTTGGTGAATTGAATTGTTGTGTCTGACACTTTAGTCAAATAACCTGGTCAGTCATTTTTTGAACTATCAAATAAATCTATCTAGCTCACAGAGTCAGAAGTGAAGGCACATTTTCCCAGTCCCTCAGAACAATGAAGCACCATTTCTAAGGATATAAACATAGTCTAAACTTTTAAGCAGTTGAAAATATGTATATACACTTATTATCAAGCATTAGGAATATTATTGTTCACACTTCAGGAAGATGTAAGCTGAATTTTGGGGATATTTTCCATTTGTATCTCCTTTAAAATCTTAAAAAATATCATATACTATGCAAGTTATTATGATAGATAAGGAAGTAAAAATTATTTCATGATTATATTTCCTGCAGATAGACTACATAAATATGGGTATGATCAGTTTTCTCATTGCCACATATTTGCCTCCTTTTTATCAAATATTTAAAAAAAATATGGATATCTTCTCTTTGAGATTTCAGGTTTACTTGATATATAAAATCAGTTTTAAAAGAAGGTTGCACTTGTTATGTCTAACTTAATAGCAATTACTCTGGTGGGGTCAAAGTCTGTATTTTGTACTGTCATATTATGCAGTTGTGTTAAGATCATTATAAAAACTGAAAACACACAAAAGACTTTTTTTTGTTGGAGGTGTTGGTTGGGGGTGGGATGTTGAATTGACAGATGTAACCAATAGAGGCAAATGCAAAGTTGACAGAATAGTTACCATGGTATCTGGGTTGGCAATCTAATTCCATATCTTGTGGAGCTGTGTAATATTATGTACAATATAAATTGCTATTTTTTTTAAGTCAATTCCATATATTTACATTTACTGTGTTTTTCTACTTAAGCAACTATGAAATTGATTTGAATGCCATTTTCGTGTATACACGGAGAAACTTGTGCTAAACTGACATCACTTTGAGGCTGGCGCGCTTCATGAAATATGCCTACGTGACAAGTCTGTTTGATTTACACACCAATAACTTACACAAAACTTGAAAACATTCCTTAATTAGCTACCCAGAGAGACAAAATGATCTGAGTCTGAAGGCTCTGCTTTAAGGGTTGCTATATCATCTTATTGGCCCTAAGAGAACAATATTGTTTATTGACATGATTCAATGATACAAACTTTTTAAAGAAAATTTTACCATCTTTCTTGGTTGTTTACCCAGTTTGAGCCCTTGTCAAATGCAGTTAGAGGGGGGCAGAAAAAAATGCAATGTAACATTCACTTGAAAGATTCAATTGCAGGTGAATACGACTTTTTATGACTGCTAGAATGTTGAATTTTAACCAATCAGAGAGTCAGGAATGATTCAATTATGTAATAAACCCACTTTTCAATGATAAATTGAATGTAAATGTACACCATTTTTAAGTATTTTTCAAGTTTGCAGTTACCAGTATATTTACATAACCTGTATTTGGGGAAATTCTGTGAAAGGTATTAAATACATTTCCTCACAATATGAATGATGTAATTTAGACATTTTTTTTTCATTACCCATTATAGTTTCTGAAGAACAAAATGTATCTTGAAATGTTTATGTAAGATATATTATAGAATATCTTTATTAACTGACATGGACATAGGAACCACCCCCACCCCCACCCCCAAGAATAAAGAATATTTATACTGTTAACAATTGGTATTTGGTATGATACAAGTGCACTACTAAATTCCAACGTTTTTAAAATCAGGGGATTGCGTACAACCTCTGAATGTGCCAATCTGATTAAGGATTAAAGGATTATTAAAGTAAACCTGCCGAGTAAGGAGCTCAGGTGTTGCACTTTATGGGAGCTTAACTGTAGACTGGTTAACCATTTTTTGCCAAAGTAACCTCTAATATTCTGCTCAATTTTAAGCCTTTTATAAGAGTGGGTTTTATGTTTTGGTATAAATATCAGCAGTAATAACACATTATTAAAAAAAGATAAATGATCATACATGGTTATACTTGGTACATGTATAAATAATTAAAACTGTATAATTTAAAGCAAACATGAATTTTGTAGAAATACACTTTTATAGCCAATTACAGAATTATCCTGTACCATGCTCTTGATGTCTACAAAATTAAACTAATTAGAGAAAATGAGAGAGAGAGAGAGAGAGAGAGAGAGAGATTAATTTGTCAAACCTACTCTATTTTAATTTTGTAAATTGGAGATAATTTTTTCAGGGACCTATATACTAACAGGATAGGCAACTCTCGCAAGTCTCGCGATATCTCATAAGTTGCGGGATTTCGTAAGTCAATTTTAATTAAATATATCTCTTTTGCTATCAAATATTTCAGAATAAAACCTTAATTTACCTATCAATAAATTATTCAAGATTTGTTATTAGCACTGTTTTTACTCCTTATCTTAGAAGTAATTACGTTTATTTAAAAATCAGTGATCGGTCGTATTTCCGAGAAATCGCCGATTTTGGTGGTTGTTTACTTAATATCTAACTTATTTTATAATATGTGCTTTAAAATTTATGAAATATCCATTCTGATACACAAAAAGAACAGATTACATTAATCAGAAAACAAGCTTTTTACTGGGAAAAAACGTAGTTTGAAAAACTTGCAGTGTTGTGTGTGCCGTTTTGGGTAAATAAACATGGCGCTAAAGGAGTTGCCTATCCTGTTAGTATATCTAGGTCCCTGTTTTTATGTGCTTCTTTTAATGTTTATGTCCTTGTCATATAGATCTTTGTATATGTATCCATAGTATTATTTATGATTATTACACTTTAATGTTAATTACTAAAATCTGATTGGTTTAGACGCATGTTACCCTAATGTTACCCTCAGCGTTAGCAACACACTTGACAACGGGTAACATTACGAAAATGTCACATGCGTTCAAATCATGCGCGTACGGTTCACTGTAGAATTCTCAAAACGTCGGTTGTGCATTTGAAAGAAGCCGAATAAACAACGTCAATAAAAGCTTGCGTCCGATATAACTTACTTGAAAACAACAAACGACAGACGAAACATCCTTGCGAATGCAAACTTTAGATGATAAAGGACTTTTTGAGTAGCAAACAAACAATAAAGAGGTTGGTAAATCTTTTCCGAAGCTTTCTTATTGAGAAAAATAGAAGCGGGGAGATTGAAAGCTTTCTAAGCGTGAACTTAACGACGATCTCCGAATTCTTTTTATGACATCCAAAATCAAGAAGACATTCAGTATAATAAAATAAATAGTGCACATTTTTTAGGGTAACCGTAAAAACTGACACCCCTCAGAAAACCATTGTCAACCTCTGCTGACGCGTCGGTTAACAATGGTTTTCCTTGGGGTGTCAATTTCAACGGTTAACCTCAAAAACGTGCACTATTTATATACTAGTCCTTGCATCCATTACTTTTCAAAATAATAACAGATTTTATGAAGAATTTTTAATCTTTACAGAGATGGCTTTCTGAATAAGAAGGAGTTTCACCAGTTACTGAATGATGTGTTCTGTGATGGCTCACAGTCCTACAAGCTCACTGAGGCACAGGAGGGGGAAATTCTTACTCTCCTAGACCAAGACCAGGTTAGTTTTAATTTTAACATTTTTGACAGGAAAACAAACGGTAAACAGGTACTCATTTAAAAAGATATATTGTGAATATTAATAAATTTAAGTTTGATCCAATGAGTGCAAAAAAAAAAAAATGGTCTCTTACATTGAATGAGTGTTCATGAAACCTGGCTGGTAAAGTCATTTATTCCTACTAGCTTGAAATTCTATGATAATTTGTCCTTACTTGTAACCTTCACCCTACATTGTCTAAAAAGAACCCAGATGCTGGTCATTAAAAATATGACTGAAATAAATGTTTCTAAATCAAAAGAAAACACCTTTAAAAGTTACATGTAATTTAATGGGAAGGAATAGCACAGGTTGAACTGTCCAGATCTACAGAATGGGATATCTCTTTACAAGTCCTCATTGGACCTCCTGCAGGGAAATTGGTCCAAATATGGAATGGTGTGACGTGTGTGCTCTGAATTAAGCTCGTCTCTGTTGATTTCTTCAGGAAAGTTCCAAAATTGGCACTGCAAATTAGCTCTCATTATCTCTTATCATTTTCTGCAAACATGGAAGAAAATATTTCTGTCATTAATTGGCTTATAAATCAATCTGCCTCTACAAACAAGAGTCATTGTGAGTATGTGTGGAGAACAGAACAAATTTGTCCACCATCTTACAAGAGAGGAAGCCATGATTATGAAATTCTTTGACTGCATGAATACATCACTGATTTCACTTTAGATGAAATTGATTTTATTTTAAAAATATTATGTCTGAAATATAGTTTCTTCCTTCTGGAAATTTCAGGATTAATTTTAGAGGTAGCTTGATTGTCAATAATATGAATAATTTATTTTCCTTTTATTTATGATGAAACTTATATTGCTCCCCATTGGTGGTATGGAAATGTCTTTTGATGTTTTGTCATAAATGTGTTGTGATGGTTTGTCAGTTTTGCACTTTTACATGTAGGTGAATCATTCATTGGTACAGGTATGTAGTCTGCCACAGTGGGAAATTGATTGCCTACGGTATAACGACAGAAATAGTGTAAACATTTGTGATAGTTGCACAGTATATTAATAGAGATATCAAGTAGGTCTTGGAAGTTCCAATCAATACATACCACCTAGAATCACAGGGCAGTTTAATTGTGTTACTGTGTGTGTCCTGAATTGTTTTCTCTTAAAGTCCAGTGTTTATAGAGTGTAATGAATTCTTTTTTTAATTGAATTGTTTTGTTAGTGTGTAATAATATCTTTAACTTTTACCACAATATTGGATTCCAATTTGTGCCCAAACACATTGAAGAGAGAGATCATTACTATTGCTGTTTAAATGCTAATCAATAATTGTATGTGCATTGTGCAGCCATCCCCTTCAGAGAACTGTGTTACTAATTTTATGATAAAACAACCTGCTGTGCAATTTTGAAGTGTAACCACACAAAATTTCTCAATTTTTAACAAAAACAGTGAAATATATTACATAAGTATTCTTTTAAAAATCTAAATGACTGTTCCCTCAGGTCAAGAAACAACTTCTAGCACATTTCCAAGCACATTTCCAAGTATATACAGTCGTGCCTAGTTAATCTGGACACTTGTGTGCCAATGCAAATTGTCCAGATAAGTGAAGCAATCCCGATTACTGAAACAAATTTGGTGTGTATATATATATATATATATATATATATATATATATATATATATATATATATATATATATACCGGTATATATATTTATAAACTGTTCCCCACAAAGTTCGTCCAGAAGTTGAAGTGTCCAGATTATTAGTTTCCAGATTAATGAGGCTTCACTGTAATTGTGTAATTGTTGATATTTTATTGTGGTATTTAGCAGACTTAAATGAAAAAGCCATCTTTTCACATTTTTGGTGAAGGTACTACATTATAATTCATAATTCTATGTCATCATTCATCTTCTCATTCATCCGACAGACATTGCATATGCTCTGTATAGACTAGGATAATCAGATAATGAAAGTACATGTGCTTCTGTACCCAGGCAGTGACTTCTGTTGGTTGTTATGGATTGTGGATCATTTATCTGACTTGCTTCTCAAGTCTTTGTTAAGTCTCGTTGATCTGGATTTACCCAAATTTAGACCAAGAATTTATAAAAATTTATTAATTAATGTGCACTTATAGAATTGGTTCAAATATTCACTCATTCCTTGAACTTTAAACAATGTTAATCTTTGATACAAGAACATGGGGAAAAAAGTTCAGTGATATTTGTAAGTGCATGGTTAAAGTACATCATTATTTAGTAATTATTACCAGCTAATCTCAAATTTACATACATTGGATGCTATAAATGGAGAAATAAGCACATGTACAATAAAACACCAATATTTACATTTGCCAATGTCTTTCCTTATAGCTATATGACAATTCAATTAAATTGACATTTAGTTTAGGTTGCTCATCTTTCTTGCTTATGGAAAGCAAACCGCATGAGACATTTAGAAATCTAGACTGTGACATCACCTGTATATGTTGCATTTCCATAACAAAGTCAGTCAAAGTGCCTTTTTTGTAACTTGAAGAATAGAATAAAAATATAAATGTTAGAAACAAAATATCATTTGTTAGAGTTTCATATGGATATGACATGAAGTTGGTATGTGATCAAATCTACAATAATGCCCTTTGGGCATTATAGGATTTGATCATGTGACCAACTTCATGTCATATCCCAATGAAACTCTAAAAATGTTATCATATCTCTTAATTAAAACAAAGTCACAGGGAATTTTGCTTCCTTATAACCAAGCTTCTTTATATCTGTATAAGGAACGTAGTGCAAAGTCTTCTACAGAATTCATTAAGATTTCTTTATAAGGCCACATAAATTTAAAATTTAGATTCTCATCCTAATTTGTTAAAAAAATGGGGCGGGTGGGCAGACTCTAAAAATGTTATCATATCTCTTAATTAAAACAAAGTCACAGGGAATTTTGCTTCCTTATAACCAAGCTTCTTTATATCTGTATAAGGAACGTAGTGCAAAGTCTTCTACAGAATTCATTAAGATTTCTTTATAAGGCCACATAAATTTAAAATTTAGATTCTCATCCTAATTTGTTAAAAAAATGGGGCGGGTGGGCAGATTTTATTTTTTATTTTTTTTTATAATTGAAAGTATCAACAAAACATTCGTATTCATAAGTTTTACATTATGTTAATGCCAATATGAATAGATTTTATTGTTTTCATATTCTTTTAAATATCTAGAGAAGATTCTTGTTATAGAAAATTAAAATATTTACTGGTATAGTTTTATTGACAAATTATCAAGTATACAGATACGGCACATGCCAAACAAAATGAGGTGCTGATCGTAATAAATTGCATATGCATGTTTTCTCATCGTCCTTTCCCCAAATACCTTACAGTTTTACCAACAACTCCTTCTGTTCTGTGTGATATATCACAGATTTCCACTGTCCTCATACATTCAATCGTTCTAGAGACTTGACATGTTTGACATTAAAATATATATCATATTTGCAAAACAGGATTGTGTAAATCTGTAAAATATTCTACTGAAAAGCCTAGGCCTGAACAGTTTTAAGATTTAACATTTCCTTAGCACTATTATTCTCTAAAGTCTTTGGACGATGTTTTATTTTTTTTAATGCAAATTCACATACAACTGGAGATCGTTATTTAAAACTTGACCACGTGTCATTTTCTTCGTCTGTTTTTACTTGGTTAAAATCTCTTTAAAAACTTGCTCATGCCAGTGATGGTATCTAGATATATTTATGTTATTTTTGCTTTTCTGCCTTCTCTATACTGACAAATTATCTTTTCCTGACATATTTAAACTGCTTTTATTGCCGATTTTTCTCCATTCTTCACAGGTTTTTTTTTGCTATAAATAGCGCCACGCGAATTTTAATACAGACGGGAGGTAACTCTTAAATTTTGACCCAGATAAAATACATGAAAATAATACGTTTGACACCCAAAAAGCAAAATAAAAAACAACGGGGCGGGGCACTTTGAGAGGGGCGGGCGGGGATGAGAATCTAAAGATTAATTTTACCTGGCCTAACCGAGATTTTCTTATTAGTGAGTTCTTTATACCTGAGCTTTACTGTATAACAAATCCAGCTTCTGAGGACCCTTATTATAAGTTCCTTATTAGCAAGGAAGTACATGTATGCAGGTTTTTCCATGGTTATAAGTTCATTTATTAGGACTTTTCATGAGAATTTTGAGAGTTTACACAAGTAGTTGTACATGTATTGCCTTAAAGACCAATGTAAATATAGAAACCAAGCATGGAAGACATTGACTCATCTGATTAGAAGCAAGCACATTCTATGAGTAGACTTTCCCAATGGGAAAGAATTTAAATGGAGAAATTAAGAATAAGGCTTTGTTATGATTAAGGATTTCTCAAGACTATTTTTTTTTGGCCACAAAGTACTGCACTTGTACATAAATTGACATGTTCAAAATTTAGTGCAATCACTAGGTATTGAGTGGTTGGTGTAATCATGAATTAGTGTTACACACATCCGTGCCATGTATTGTATTTATTTATGATTTATTTACGTAATTCATGAATTAGCGCATTGCTGTCCTCGCCAAAGTCGCTAAAATATAAAGCCTGCTTATTTTAGTACACATACAGTATATAAGGAATAATGTGTATTGCGCTTTCTTAAATTATATATTTATCTAAATAATGAATTTTTATGTACTTTGATGTAAACAGTAGTAAGGCTTTTCATATGTAATGCATGTCCCACAGGTTTTGGCTTTTAAGCTAGAATTCCTTACATAAACTAAGTTCTGTAATAAGTTTCTTTAACTGAACTTCATCTAGTGCATTTGAGTTATAATTTGATGAGGATTGTGCTTTGCTTTATTTGAAAAATATTTTCACCCAATTACAGGATGGAAAAATCAGTAAAGCTGAGTTTCTTGGAAACTGCTACTACTGGCTCAAACAGGTAGGTATCAGTATGATATTTGTATCTGGCATGAAAGTCTTTTAAATGAAAAAAATTCTATTTGCTAAGGAGGTTATATGTATTTCAGATTTTTGTACTACAGAGTTCGAGGTAAGGAAATATCTGTCATTGTCCAATATTAATGATTCTCACTGGTGTCTGTTTTCCATAGATTTTACAGCCCAACTCTGCTCTGATTGTGGTTGATGTACAGAATGATTTCCTGGATGGAAACCTCGCACTTCGTAACTGTCCCGCAGGTCAGGATGGGTTAGGGGTCATTCCTGCCATTAACTCTCTCCTTGAGACAGTGAACTTTGACCTTGTAGTGTATACCAGAGATTGGCACCCTGCAGACCACATATCATTTGCAGAAAACAAGCACATTAGACCTTTCCATTCTTCAAGCCAAGTAAGTTAGGAACTTTAATATCTGTAAATTTGGAGGTGTTAATGATGGACAATCAAATTGTCTGCATAGCATTTAATTATTTTCAATTTGTATGTAAATGTTTGGACATGATATACTGGTAACAGACATGTTTAACTACAAAGTTATGTCAAGCATCTGTGAAAATCATTTTATCTGCATGCCAACTATGTGGCCTATGATGAAATAAATTTAATAGTCAAATAGGTACTGGCTCCCCAGAGATAGAGCATTTTAAGCTAATGCTGCTAATCTAAGTCCCATCATAGAAGAATAAGTATTTTGAATTTATGGTAGAAGTTTCATGATTATGTCACAGGGAGAGTGAGAGAATCCCAAACAGATGAATATTTTGTAGTACTGTTTTTCTCACCTCTTAGCCAAAATTAAGCCTCAAATGAGCCATTAATTATGATGGAATATAAAAAGAAAGCAAAACAAAAAAACAAAAAAACAAAAAACAAAAAAAAAACCCATTCAACTGGATTCAACCAATATTGCCACAAAATGTCCAAATATATGGATATATCCTGGAATATTCATAATTGCTGACTTGGCATATGTTTTAGGCTTCAAAGATTTGGGAGAAAGACACTGTATTTAGCTCATTCATTCCTAGCTTGACACAAGTGACTTACACTTAAACTTCTTATATATTGATGCTTTTGTTTATGCAATGTTTCAAAAATGTCTTGTTTTGAGTGGGGCCTCTTTTTTGGGGGTGGATGGGTGGGGGTGGGGGTGGGTGGGATTAGTATGTTTTGCTTAGAAAGCTCTAGTTCTTACAACTAGCACCTTTACAAGCAGTTAAATTGACATGCAAACATTATTACTGGTACATATCTGTACTTCAAAATTGCTGAAATCAAGACCTTAAGCTTAGATTACAAATTCATTCTAGTTTGGACTTCACTCATTGACATGTTTATACTCTAGTCAAACTGAATTATAAGACTTAGACATATGCTTTAAATTTTGCATAAGGAGCCAATGTTAGCATAGGGAAATATAGGTAAAGGTCATGAATTTTAGTCCACAAAGTTTCTATCATCAAGAGTTTATATTATTGTACGGTAACTTGGTCTGACGAGCTGTATCATGTTGACATGTATGGATCATTAGACCAAAGAGAATCGAAATGTCTCATTTGATCTGATGATCTGATGATCAGCAGCTGCCTAGATGTGATATGGCTCTTCAGATCAAGCTACAGTTGTAACGATAGATTTATATTATATACCGCTCAATTATTAGCTTTTATATGATAAAAGAACACTTTGGGATCAATTATTGAATTTTTATCAGTTAAACAAACACTTTATTGAAGATCTTTTCTACAACATCATGTGTACTGAGTATTATGTCATCAGTTTCACAGAGGGTTGATATGCATTCAATAAACCTTAGTGTGGTACGTGACCTGGAAAGTGGGATCACACCGTCCCACCATGATTGCTTGAAATCAACAGTAAAATTGAGTGATACACAGTTGGGTATATACGGAAGTTGGTATGTGCAAGATAGAAAAATATTTTATCTGGCAGCCGCCTCATGAATAACTGTCAGCCGCCAGATAATTAAATGGCAGTTGGCAGAAACTTATCCCGCTGCCACATAGATAACTGGCGACCAGCATATAATTTCTGTCGGCTGCCAGAAACTTATCTGGCAGCCACCTGAAAATTATATGGTGGGCGCCAAATAATTATTTGGCAGACACAAGAAATTATATGGCAGCTGCCGGATAGTTATCTGGTAGCCACCAGTTATTTTTGTGGCGGCCATAATAGATCTATTTATTTGGTGGCCACCAGAATAATTATTTGGCAGCTGCCAGATAAGTTTCTTGGGGGCTACCAGTCATTTATGTGGTGGTTGGCAGAAACTTATCTGATGGCTGCCAGATAAAATTTTTTTTCTACCTGGCATCTTATAGGTATATTATAAAGGATTATGTATGGTTCAGTGTTTGTTGGCAACACCAGAAAATACAGAGTATTGGCGAAAATGTTCTACAAAGGGTAAAATCCACATTCATTAAAGAGTGTGTCCCATGTGAGCTCTTTGCTCCACACACATCTTGTGTTCTATATTTATAGGCAATACAACTAAATTATTTGAAAGTTTTTCATGGAACTATAATATGTTTTCAGATTTCTCAGAAAGAAGCCAAGGTTCATGACACAGTGATATTTGAGGGATCCTCCATTACTGAGCAGAAACTATGGCCCACTCATTGTGTTCAGGGAAGCTGGGGAGCTGAACTGCACACAGATCTCAAGGTTTATTAAATATAAGGAAATTTTAATGACTGATTTGTCAGCTAAAATTGATATTTAAAACATGGCTTACTTCACAAATATATGACAAGGTTTATATTTAGATGCTATTTCTGTGGAGAAAAATTACAGTCAAATCTGTTTTAATGACCACCTGTATATAGCCTCCTCCTGAGAATTTTTTTTTTATTTTTAATTATATTTTACCTGCATTCAGTGGCTTCCTGTCTAATGCTACAAGCAATCATCATTTTCCATCCTAAATGTAGTTTAAGATCCTGAATTAGCGAGTTTTGGCTCCACTTTCATAAATAGAAGTAATAAATTGCTTAGTATTATCCTTCCCCCCACTTGGAGGAAGAAGTATGCAAACACTTACTCGTTAATATGATATTTCACAGCGATTAAAGAATTTCTTTTGGCAAGTCACTTAATACAGGTTTGACTGTATCAGGTTGCCACAATTTTCTATTGCAATGATGTTGCTACAGACTGAATTGCTCTTTGATGGTTTAAAGGAGATGTTTTTATAGCTTGAAAATATTGGAGAATGAGATAAAATGTTCTCTATTAATTAGAATAGTGAATTCTTGAAAATTCAGTTGTGTGTTAGTATATATAATAAGTCAGATAATTTTTAAGTGGTATATCATTCATAAAGTGGAAATTCTAGCATGCATATGTTTTGTTTTCTATTGTATGATATTGATAATTGTAAACTGTATTGCGGTAATTCTTCATAGGTCCCAGATGACAGCATCTTTGTGGATAAAGGAAAGAATCCTGATGTGGACAGCTACTCGGCATTCTGGGATAACAACAAACAATCACAGACAGAACTGGTCCAGATCTTATCTAAACGTAACATCACTGATGTCTATGTCTGCGGAGTGGCCTATGATGTCTGTGTAGGTAGGTAAACTGATGTCTTTCTCTGTGGTGTGGTAGGTATATATACTGATGTCTATGTCTGCAAAGTGGCCTATGATATCTGTGTAGATACTGATATCTATGGCCAATGATGTTTGTGTAGGTCTGTAAACTGATGTCTATGTGTGTGTTTTGGCGCATGATGTCTATGTCTGTGGGCAGGGGCTGACAAATCCCATTGCACGACGGCCGGGGCTAATGAATTTTAGGAGAGAGCAAATGAAATTTTATCAATCACTTGCCCGTGGACAAGTGACTTAAAAAAATGAAATAAATATTTTAGTCATAGACTGATTTAATTTTGGGCACAATGGATTGCATGTTCTACTCAGTTTTTTTTTCTATTTTTTTTAATATATTAATACAGTATTAGTTTATGGTTGGGCAAGCAAAAATTCAGGTAGGGCAAATGAATTTTCACCATACAATTGCCCTTGGACAAGTGCCTAAAAAAATCTATTTGTCAGCCCCTAGCTGTGTGGGGGTGGCCTTTGATGTCTGTGTAGGTAGTTATGCTGAAATCTATGTCTTTGGTGTGACCTATGATATCTGCTTACTGGTAGGTAGGTATAAGATGCTGATGTCTCTGTCTGTAGTGTGGCCTATGATGTCTGTGTAAGTGGGTAATCTAATGTCTATATCTGTTGAGTGACCTTTGATGTCTGTGTAGGAAGGTATACTGAAGTCTATGTCTGTGGGGGTGACCTTTGCCAGGCTGTAACTAGGCTCAAATTTTTAGTGAGGCAAGAGATCTAGGAGGCACCCGAGTCCCAAGCAGATCCAGATTATTCTCGAAGGGAGGGGAACGTTCCCTAAACCTGGGTTTTTTTAGCGAATTAAAGACTTGATCTTTGAAAGTTTCACGTTTTTTTATTACATGCATTCTAAAGTATAATGAAGCACCTGGTGAAATGGTCAATTTACGGAAATTAAAACATAAGTTGAAAGTATAAATTTAGTATAGAGACACACATAATTAATTAAAGTTAAAAGTAAAAATTTTGAATTCTTCAGAAAAATCTAAAATTTTAGTGAGGCATTTGCCTCACTTGCCTCAATGGTAGTTACGACCTTGCTTTGATATCTGTGTAGGTAGTTATACTGAAGTCTATGTCTGTGGGGGTGACCTGTGATGTTTGTGTAGGTAGGTATAAGATGCTCTCTGTCGGGGGGGGGGGGGGGGGGGGGGAGGGGGGCTTGTGATATCTGTGTAAGTAGATAAACTGATGTCTATATATGTTGGATGACCTTTGATATCTGTGTAAGTAGTTAAACTGATGTCTATGTCTGTGGGGGTGACCTTTGATGTCTGTGTAGGTAGTTATACTGACTTCTATGTTTGTGGGGGTGATCTTTGATGTTTGTGAAGGTAGTTTACTGAAAATGACTATTGCTCATCGAAATGATTGAACCAAAGGCATTTTATAGATTTATGTAAATATTTTCAAGTAGAAGTTGCATGGTACATTTCAATAAAGAAAACTTCTGTTTTGGATTAAGTGTTCCTTTAGATTCTGTAAACTTTTGGACATTCATTTCTCTTATTTTGAAAAATAGAACAACACCTTAATTTTATCCTACAACCAATGATTTCGTTATGTCAAACAACAACATATATTCTAAAAAAAGAAATTCTTGATAACAGGTTCTATGAATTCGGATTGTAAAAGATGTGTTGGGACAGTTTGAGACATATATTGCTTCAGCAAAATACTCTCAGACATTATGTGGAAAGAGACTTTGTCTCCTTTATACTTGACATTGTTTAAGGTAATCTTTTATATATATGTTTATTGGGGGTGTCTTTTGTTCAGGTTTTACAGGGTTAGATGCAGTGGACCATGGATTTAGGGTGATTGCTCTGGATGATGCTTGTCGCGGTGTGGATGTGCAGCACATAGAAGACATGAAGAAATCACTCCAAGACAAAGGAGCCATTATTATAAATACCTGCAAGGTAGGCCATTATTATAAATACCTGTAAGGTAGGCCATTATTATTAATACCATTAACTTAAGGTAATTCATTATTATGAATACTTGCAGTGCCCATCTTCAAGGTAACAACAAAAATTCAAATGTAAAATATACCTTAGTAAAAGCAAATTTAAAAAAAATGACAAGACGGATTTTCATGACCCTGGAAATGCAACTTAAATGATTGATAAAACTGTCAGCAGTACATTATAACTGTTCCAAAAGGCACTGTGATACTAACATATCTGAGATCAGGACATACTGTCTTGGGCTGATTTTACATTCTTAGGTCACCCGAGTCACTAAGGGATCTATTGATTACCAGTATATAGTGAAAGTGCTTTATTTCTCAAAATGAAATTTTCTTCTCTGCCTATTTTTATTAACCAGACATACAAAGTGCATGGTTATGATCAGCAAAACTGCCTCTTCCAAAATTGTGAATATCTTGACCCTGGGTAAGGGGCTCTGGTATTAGGGTAGGGCTATATTGAATCTATAGTTAAAATGGATTGTTCCTTTAAAAATCTTCTTCTCTGCTCCTGGGCATGTAGGAGACAAAGTATATAAAGTTGTAATAAGCAAGGGTGTTTTTACCAGATTTTGTTGTTGTTTTTTTTATTGAAGTTATTCCCTATGCTATTCGCCTATATGATAGTTAATCACTGTACTAAATAATGTAACTTAAAAGGTCTATTGAAAAACAAAATTTATTATATTTAATACAAAAAGTACATTCATAGTTTTTAATGGTCAAGTAGGATTTTAAATAATAGATAAATGAAAATGGGACAAAAATATTGTATCTTTGTACATTAAATAATCTTCAAACAATAAGAGAGGCCAATGTGAGGGGGAATGAAATGTGTTAACTAATAGTGCTCTAGACCTATTTTGTTTAGTCCGCATGAAGATAGTGACAAATTTGGAGGGGAGGGATACAGAAGTACTAGATTAATATTTTGCTGACCCCTGATAATCCTATTTTTCTTGCTTTTAGGCAACATAGCTTCATTTATCAGCTTATTTTGTTTTAGTCTATGGATTGTTACATTACACACAGGTGACCGTTAAGGTCCTTGGGCCTTTTTTTTCTTATCTATTTGTACACAACTTTAATCTTGGACATACTTTTGTAAAATATCAGATAGAGAATACATGAGATTGCATTTATGGCCAATATAAAGCTTTACACAGGTTTAAAGTCAAAGGATCTTGTACATGTATCACTTGTTCTCTTGTAAGACGTCAAAATCTCCACTATACTTTGTTTTAGTACAATTAAATTATACTCTTTGAAAATTAATTTTTTCTTTCTTTTTTTTTGTCTTTCAAGGTGAAGGACATTGTAGAGGGATCTGACCGTCCTCCAAAGCTTGGGCTCCAGACTGCACGAAATGTGGCCCTGGCACGAACATTAGTTAATAACAATAAGGTTCTCCCAACGTAATTATCTCCCTTTCAGTTCATGTCTTCTGTTAAGAGTCTGTGTTGTTAGTAACATTCATCCTGAGCCTTGTGTACAAGTGCAATGTTGACTTTTGTCTGTGTCACTTTCTTTGTGGATCATTAATGTTTGTTTTTCTTTTGGTATTTCAGAATGTTTTGATTGCATACAGTTCAAATTAAAATAGTTGCTAATTTACTTTAGGAAGTTGGAAGTTTAAGAGATGCTAGTGAATGATGTTTCTAGTCATAAACTTTCATAATCTCTTTTAAATGAGGTTTTATTTCTGTTCATGGATATAAAGGTTTTTATAGTTACATATACCTTAATTATTTTAAAAGTCCAGCTAACATTTTTTGGTTAGTGAATTTTTGTTTATTAATTTGTACACACACACCCATATATATTACAATCTTATACTTAATAAGCATGATGGCATGTCAATTTATATTTTTAAAAATGATATATTGCCTAATTGTATTTTAAATTTTTTTTCTGACACAGTCACACTGTATTTATTTTTAAAGGGTTACATGTTCAGAGAAGTAAATGAAAGGATGATGTTAATAAATGTCAGGAAAATAGATATACCATATAACAAGGTATTTTAGTGACATTCAAATTTAGTGATTTTATCCTAAAATTGGGCATTTATTATTAGTCCCCTACCGGTGAAACTGGAGGGGACTATAGGTTTTTATCATGGTGAATAAGAATTTTTAACAATTTACAAGATAAATTTATTTATTATCTCGGACAATATTTATGAATGAATTATTAGCTAGATTTATTTTTACCATTGCCTAGACCATTTCTAATTATGCCAAAATTTGATGATCATTAATAGTTCCTGTTATATGGTATCGTATCCTTTGATATTTATTAGATTACTAGTATTCACCCACCTCAGTTATTCTAGATCTGATTTCACTTGTTTCATATCAGTTTTTTTTAATCCTCTGAATTTTGTTTTTTTATTAGATTAATACAACCTCCTCTTATATTAGGATTCACATTAACTAAATATAATTGATCTGATAGTAAGAATACTCAAGGTATTGTGAGTGATTTCATACTTTATGTTTCATTGTTTTTATATTATGCATATGTACATAGTCAATATGGGTATTGAATTCTTGTATACATAATTTCAGCGCATTTTCACAACAGTTTTGGTATTATATTGCACGGATCACTACAGTTTTGGTATTATATTGCACAGATCACTACCAGAAGGTGCATTTCGCACCTGCTTCACATTCGCTCTTGTTATTGACTCCAAAGTACAGATAATGCAGAGAAATGTTGAATATTTACATGAAATTGTATAAGACAATGGAATAGGCATGTAATTCAAGTGGTGAACAGTTATATGTAGATTATTGCTGTTTTTTCTTGAAAGTTTGCATACTAGTATGAGATTTTTAATCCATACCAGCTTATATTGTAAAGCTGCATTAATTACCCTGGAAATTAAAGTACAGTGAACTAAAAAAACATACAAAATTTAATGCTTACTACATATAGTCAGTAATTTTATTACCTCAAACTGAAAATGTGAGTTCCTTTAGTATTCCTGATATACATGTATAAATACTATATGAAAAACTCATGTATAATTTTATTTTTTGAAAATAAATTTTTTTGTTATTTTTAAAGTATTGTATATTGCATTTAGCACAGGTGTAGCCACATTTTCAGTGTACTTAGTGAACGGTTCACATTGTTGTTTGTCTCTGACAAACTGTGATGAAGGTATACATATTTTATTTTTTAAAAATCAAATTGATTTGTGATTTACATATACAGATACATTATGTAAATGTATTTTATTTATTGGTTGTTTCAGATAAATGCTATGTGCTCTCTAATGAGTCTGAATTAAATGTTTATTTACTGTTGTCTGAACCTTGTCTTTTTTTATTCTTTTTTTTCTTCCTTTGTATGCATTCTCCCGTGGCTAGGAATTCTCATTGCTTTAAAGTTTTGTTAGTGTATAAAGGGCAATAACTCTTCCACAATTACTATGATGAAATCCAGCTGTTGAAGATTTATGTTTGTCGTGAAATTAATCATGAAACTGTTCTTTAACTAGGGGGAATGTATTTGAGCAATTTGATTTCTCAATTGAAGTACAGTGTCTGAAGCATCACTAATTCATACATGTACTGATATACTGTCCTCTTGGTATAATGTTGTCAAATCATCAGATTTTTAGTGACCAGTTAACTACATGTACTTATTTTTCTGAATTCTGATCAAGTACCTGGTTACTCAGATGATTTTTCTTTTAAATTCTCTTAACAACCTTGACCACAGCATACATGTACATATATGCATATTTTTCTAAGAAACAAACATTACTATCTTATCTCCTGTAACATGTTTCAGTTATGATGCCAGACTTATTTGCGTATAAAAACAAACATACAATGTATTGCATCAACATTTTACTAATAGTATAATCAGGGTACAAAATAGGATAAACATGTTACGAAATACGAAATTTATTTACTGCATTCTTCCTTTTCCCTAGGGTACTGACAATTTGTTTTTTGTTTAAAAATGTTTGAAAAGTCCAAGTTTTCAATGTCCTGGGCAGCATCTTGTTTAATCCTCAGAGGAGCTGACTTTATTTGCTTGAACAGCAACTGAGGTAATTATAACTTAGGTTTTTAAAATTTGTATACCGCTTGGCAATTAAAGCCATGAACTGGATACATGTAAACTGTGAAATCAAATCCAGTCCACTGTATTTGTGAAATGTTAGATCACGTCTAACAGCAAATCAAACCAGGGACCAGTTCAGTGGTCCCTGATAGAGAAAATAATCTATTTTGTTTTATTTATCACAAATAACTACTCTAATTGATACTGATATATAATCTCCTCCCAATATAAACATTGATTGATGCTGATCTACCTTCCCCTCAACATAAACATTGATTGATACTGATCTACCTTCCCCTCAACATAAACATTTATTGATACTGATCTACCTTCCCCTCAACATAAACATTGATTGATGCTGATATACTCCCCTACCAACATACTGATATACAGTCAAACCTCGTTATCTCGAACTCGATGGGACTCGGAAAAATCTTCAAAATTTGCGAGGATTCAAGATATTGAGGGTAAGATACATAACGAATAAGTGGTTGGGACTTCCAGATCAGTTTGACATATCCATGTGTAACAGGAAAGGAGAAAATGTATGGCTGGACCGGGAATCGAACCCGGGACCCTGCATCACTAGTCAGATGCTCTACTGACTAAGCTACCCAGGCCAATATCCACGGCCCAAACCATTACATCCCTCCCTCCTTAAATTGTCTTCGCCCTCGAAGACACAACCTAAGTTCTTATTAGCCCCTGGCAGGACTTTCGCTTGCAAGTCCAGGGGTGGTCAACAGCACCAAATCTGTAACAGGAAAGGAGAAAATGTATGGCTGGACTGGGAATCGAACCCGGGACCCCTGTATCACTAGTCAGGTGCTCTACAGACTGAGCTACCCAGGCCAATATCCACGGCCGAAACCATTACACATGGTATCGAGATATCAGTGTTTGAGATACTGAAGTTTAACTGTATATTCCCCTCCCAACATAAACATTGATTGATAATGATATACTCCCCTACCAACCAAAACACTAATTGATACTGATATACTCCCCTGCCAACATAAATACTGATTGATATTGATATATACTCTACTCCAGATATAAATACTGACTGATAATAAAATGCCCTCCTCTCAAAAATAAATAAAAATTAATACTGATATACCTGGTATACTACACTCCTAACATAAACACTGTCAGATACTGATATACCTTTCAACATAACCACTGATTGGTACAGACATATGTACATGTATACCCTCCTCTCAACATGAACACTGATTGATGCTTATATATACTCTACTCCCAACATAAACCTTGATTGGTACTGATATATACTCTACTCCCAACATAAACACTGACTTATACTGATATACCCTCCTCTCAACATAAACACTGATTAATGCTTATACATACTCTACTACCAAAACATAAACACTGATTGGTACTCATATATACTCTACTCCCAACATTAACACTGATTAATGCTTATACATACTCTACTCCCAACATAAACACTGATTGGTACTCATATATACTCTACTCCCAACATTAACACTGACTAATAGTGATATACCCTCAACATAAACACTGATTGATGTTGATAGATACTCTACTTCCAATGTGAACACTGATTGATACTGATAAACACTCTACTCTCAACATAAACACCTACCAATACTGATATACCTCCTCACAACATAAAACATAAAAACTGATTGATACTGATAGATACTCTACTCCGAACATGAACATTGATCGATACTGATATACCCTCCTCTCAACATGAACATTGATTGTTATTATATAGTCTATTTATAGTCTTTATATAATCTATACAAACGCAAACAGTTCATAACACTACATATTCACTGGTTTTGAAGCCGTATTCACCGGAGAGTTGGTGCGCGTGTAGCGGCATTGTGACGTCACAATCAACATCTCAAACAACGTTGTAAACAATGGTTGCAACGGCAAGAGCCAGCTGTGTATCTGAGCAGGAAAAACAGTAGCCAAGCCTATCGCAGGATTATATTTTCTAAACATTTCGATGTCTTACAAACAGCAAAAGGAAAACACAGAAGCTATAACTTGTAATCTGGACATTTTTTTTTATTTTTATACGACAGAAGTTCTTAAATGAAAGTGATATCATCATGCAGCCATCATTGTCTTATTTATTTAAATCCGGACTATATAATAAAACAATTATGGACTCTTTCGGTGGTGAATATGGTTTGTTATTCACCAGAAAAATATCAATATTGACCGAGGCGAACATATAACAAACCATATTCACCACCAAAAGAGTCCATAATTGTATAATAGTGATATACTCCCCTACCAACATAAACACTGACAGATACTGATATACATTTCAACATAATGTGGCGGTCAGACGGGTTCGATCGCCGGTGGCCAGATAGCTCAGTTGGTAGAGCACCTGACTGGAGATTCAGGGGGCCCGGGTTCAAATCCCAGTCTGGTCCGCTGCATTTTTCTCTAATCTCCCGTTACATTTGGTGCCGTGCCATGCCCTGGAAGTGACAGGTGAAAGACCTGCCAGGGAAGAGCCTGGGTTGGTGTCTTCGGGGGGCCAAAGACCTTTAAGGAGGGAGGAATGTGGCGGTCAGACGGGTTCGATCGCTGGTGCATGGTCAGATAGCTCAGTTGGTAGAGCACCTGACTGGAGATTCAGGGGGCCCGTGTTCGAATCCCGGTCTGGTCCGCTGCATTTTTCTCCTCTCCCGTTACAATAAAAACAGATTGGTACAGACACATGACGATTGTATATTACTTCCTCTCAACATAAACATTGATTGATACTGATAAACCCTCCTCTCAACACAAACACTGGCTGATACTGATATACCCTCCTCTCAACACAAACACTAACTGATACTGATAAACCCTCAACACAAACACTGACTGATATCGGTACTCTACTTCCAACATGAACACTGATTGGTATTGATGTGCACTCTACACCCAACATAAACACTGATTGATATTTATATTACCCTCCTCTTAACAAACCGGTAAGCAGTGACTGATACTGATATACCCTCAACTCAACATTAGCATTGATTGATGCTGTTATATATACTTTCCACCCACCATAAACATTGATTGATACTGGTATATACTCTACTCCCAACATAAACACTGATTGATATTGATATACCCTCCCAATACTGTCAAATTATTACTCCTTGGTTCAGGATTCAGGCCACAGTGTGGGGCTAACTTGGTATATAAAATAAACTCTAGTTTGTCTGCTAAGTGTTTTATGAAGATTTTCAAAGATATGAATAACATATTATACACTTAATTTTTTTTTTAAAAAATGTGATCAGCTCAGCCCCATTCTTAGACTTGAATCCTAATTAAACCCAGGGATCATAAATTTCATTACTTTAGAAGTTAGGCCTAATGATTAAGAAATATAACATTCACAAATGTACCAGGTAACAAAAAAAGTGTTGGAGGAATTCAGATGTAATTGAGGTCTTTTCATGTTGGTGTTCAATTTGAGCAACTGAGCAAACAATTTGATGTATCCAAACATTATTTGATGTATCCAATACCTGATATACTTTGTTTATCATACAGAGTAAAGAGGAAATTCAACCTACAATATCTTCTTTTAAATTACAGTGTGTAGCATAATAATTTTGTTGCATATTTATTAAATTGCTTGACAATATTGAACTTATATTTCAAAAAGTTTTTAATAAAATTATATTATAAATTTTAACTGAGCAATTTTAATAAAATTATAATTTTAACATTAATTACTTAATAATTATAATTTTAACTGAGCAACTTTTTTGATAACATAATATTGGATTACACCTGTGCAACAATCTGAATAATCAGTCTTAAAATGGAAAAACATTCAGGTTCCACCGAGATTTGAACTCGGATCGCTGGATTCAGAGTCCAGAGTGCTAACCATTACACCATGGAACCTTCATACAGAATGGAACTTCCAATATCGTTTAGTTAAGTAATAATTTAGCTCTCGGTATAAACACGGAATGCAGTCAATATTTTGCTGCAGATTAACAAGTATCATCAACATATAAATGATTTTTGTGAAGCATTATCACGATTTTACACCTGTAGTATATGAGTACGAGTGTGTGTTTATTGACATGTTTGACATGCATACGTAATAATGTAAACATAGTTCAACCAATCAAATTAGTCAAAATTTGGGGAACTCCACTTTCCGCGAAATAGATAGACGATACCACGATTAGCACCACTGCTATATTTATACCTAGCAATTTACAGGTGTGACGGCTGCGTACCTGTAATCAGAACGACTTTATGTGAGTAGTACTTTCTTTTCATTTTTTTCAGATTTTATGTTTTTATAATTGTTTCTTTAAAGAACATCTAAGAAATGGGTGTTCCTTTGGATTACTCCACCTTGGCGCTGACTCAGAATCTGCCGATTTTCTGAAGTTGAGTGGGATGGTCCTTTAACAGCATTTGTTTGTTTAGTCATACCGGATTTTTATATTATTTACGCACGATAATACAGAATAATTAATTGCAAAATACAAAAGAAATAAAATAAGCAACTTTCGATATTGATTTATAACCTTTGACCTGAATATGTAGTTTATAAACAAGTTTGTCAACACTATAGTTCAAGAAAAAAATAAAATACAGATGAGAGTGCTTTGACTCAAAAAGTGCCCAGTCTCCAAAAGAAGGATGTTGATATTGTTGTATAAAATTTACGAGAAAAGATAACCTTTTGATTTTATGCGTTTGTAGCATATTATTCTTTGGGAGATGACATATGTACCTTCTCTATAATAATGGCCAAAAATTACTTAATTAAGTGCTGCTGGCTAGCATAAAATTTTATCCTGAGGTCTCTCATTAGCAAGTTGTTTCTTATAGACACCAGTGCACATACTAGTTAAACATACCCCACAAGCCTTGCATTTGAAAAACAGACCAGGCTACTTAGCATACCTAGCCGTCTTGTTCACAGACAAAACCCTGGGGGACAAAATAAAGAGTGTGTGAAGTGGTGGGGACATTTAATGTTTTCTCTACAATATGTATTTCATTATACAGGTAGCGCTGCATTTGTTAATGTATTTTGTTTCATTGATGGTATTAGTTTTCTGATTGTGTGCATGTATATGTGTTTTTTCATGCATTGCTTGTACATATTTGAAAACATAAACTTTCTGTGCTTGACTAGTGAACCAGAGAATAACTCGGATTTTGTTTGTCAATGTTACACTTTATCAGTATACTGTATAAACTATAGATCAACAATTTTTGGGAGTTGGGGGGTGAAAATCCCTTATCTACATCATTCCGTAATTGTTCTATACCTATGACAATATTAATGCAAAAATGTTTGCTTATATGATAAAATTAACGTAACAGTTCAAAATTAATCTTAGGAAAAATTACTGTATTTTATTACTAGTTGAAGAATATTATGTTAGTGAGAGAAAGGGGAAGAGACAAACTTCCTTTGATCATGATCATTAACTGAAGGTAGATCAGTGACAAATCACTTTACCTTCATCAATTTGACTTTCAACTTAAGACTTGTGCAGATGAAGGTCATTTCTATAACTGAGCATCTCTAAAGTCATGCACAAGGTCACAAATTTTCTGGATCTAGATATAAGGTAAATAGTCATATGTTGTATGTGGTATGAAAAGATTTGTCTTTTTTAATATTATTTTAAAATTCATGTCACTGAATGAAACGTAGTACTTAACCTATCTTGTGTGATCTGGTTTCAGCCTTTTTGACACTCCATCTTGTCATTAGAAACCCACTACATCATAATCATGTACACCCAGAGGCAAAGGTATTGTGTAAATTTAAAGATATATATTTAGATAAACATTTTAAAAATGTGCACAGTCTCTGCGTTATTGAGGAATTGTGTAGGACCTGATACACTGTAAACAATATAAGCCAGATCAACTCTGATTTATTATTGACATGCATGTAAAATTTCCAGACAGCTGAGATTTCACCAAGCAGTTTAAACTTGGGACTAAAGTTATCTCCCTCTCTAGAAAGTAAGCATTGGTTCAGCGTTACCTCCCTGTTTGGTGACTCTTGTGGGTAAAACATCAAATACTTAGTGTCAATAGCTGTGTAGTGATATATGATGCAATATAGATTACACTTTTATGACCAACACTCTACATGAATCATCTCGGGCCATGTCAGGGAGAGGGACCGGCCTAATATAGCTCTCTCAGGTAAATACCAACATTGGCGGTTAAGTATATACTGTAGTACTGAGGGGATTTGGACTGGTGTTTCCTCCCTTTGCAGGTGCTTGTGAGCTGACAGGACGCGCGTCTCTAAGTGTCATCGGATGTGTGTTTCCTGTGTGTTGTGTAGGCTTGATTTGGGATTATTGTGAGGTTATCCGGAGATACATCAAGGGCCTGCAAAAAGGAAAAAATTATATTATCTCTGGGAAAACAAATTATGGAGATAAGGATATGATTGTATTTTTGAGAGAATTATTGATAAATAAGGGAGTAACTTATGGTTTTTATTGTACAGTGTCTTACAAGTTGATATCTTTAATTATGTTGTGAAGTTTCCCCGGGATGAACCCCAATGATGTAGATGACTGTTTACAATGTATCTTACTGTTTGTGTTCAGACAGTCTAACATTTTTCATTTGTGCAAAGTGTTTGATTGGTTTTCTATCTGACTGACATTTTTGAGGGATATTAATAATCAGTGGATCATGGATGCTATGCTGAAATCTCTTTACTTTGATCTCAAACAGGTAAGAATAAAATTTGGAATCCATATACAGAACTCTATACATCAGAGATGGACTTTTTGACATGTATTCAGACACTAACATCCCTTGGAAAAAACTGTCCAAAAATTGGGCCTTCCTGTCTGAAATTTTCTGTTGACAATGCAATAATGGTTCCTTCCTAGTACTCAGTCTATTACAATAAACTAGATGCATTATAACCTCTTATTTTGCAACATAATAATTGGGTACTGAATGCTAACAAATTTCAAATGAGTCAGAATTTTCTTCACCACACCTCCAAATTTTCTGCCTTGCATAATTTTGCAATTACTACATTGACCTATGAATTTTGACACTTGATAAAAGATTTGTACTTGAAAGTTTCCTTGTGCCAAAGTTAGCAAGTACTAACAGTCGTACTGAGTAGAGTTGCTGTCAAACTACCAAGAAAGTCGCCTAGTAAAAATGTGAAACATTTTTCACTGCTATAATGCAATGTTTACAAACTGCCCTTTTCTGAAATACACCAGTACTGGAAGGTCCATTATTTGGTCGTAAAACATTAATACCTGAAGAGAAAATGTGTCTGTATCTTCAATATCTTAATTGAACTGAGTAAAATTTTATAGTGGGTACATTTACATGTGAAGGTAAGGGGCTTTTGTGAGTGACCTGAATACAATTTTATTGTTGTGGACCTCTCAATTATCTACAAGAACTACATATATCACAAACAATGGGTAGATAAACAGTTTACCTGGACAGGTAAAAATAGACCCAGAACATCATGCAGGGGTGATCAAGAAAATATTGCACTGTAAGATATTCATGCTTGAAAGGATTGACATAACATGAGGACAAACATGGGAATTACCCGATTTTAATTTTTTTTTTTTTATTTATTATTATTATTATTATTATTTTTTTTTTTGCATTGAGCTTGAATATTGAACCATTTGAAAAATGCAATTAAAGAGAAAAAAAAGTTAGTAGAAAAAAGACTATATCATATTAACATTGGCCCCTTTGTATCATTGTAGACTGATTCTGATACATTACTCAGGTGATATTCAGGATGTCCTGAATAATTCATAATCCATTGTTCAGCCGCGTGATGCTTTATTACACATATTTCCATCATGTCTCTTTATAACTACATGACTAAGATAGGTATCATATATTTTCCATATATGCCATTGACCTTTTATAATAGACTCTTTTATTGCAAAACTTTAAAATCCCTTTGATTCAATAATATTTCCGTGAGGCAATAATTGGATTACCTGTGACTACGGCTATATAAATGAATCACATTCATGCGTGTTGTTGTTGACATAGTACATTTCAGACATATATGTACTTAGTTGCATGACTGCAGGATAAGTGCCCTTAAGAAGAATGTAACATTGGATTTTTAGCCAGCTGAGTATAGGATGTACTCTTCCGCTGTCGATGAAAATCTGATGGCTCATCTATGTCTGAATCTGCCTTACTAAGCCTCCCATGTACTTAAGAAAATGATCAATAAAAATTTGGTCTACTTTAGTATGACAAGGCATGAGAATAGAGAAATGAAATATTCTAGCAACTTTTGAAGATAAAATCTTTCAACTTTGGAAGATGGTCTGCATTTTCAATTATTTCTACCTACCTTGAGATGGACAAGTCGATGGATGTTCAAATAAAATATAATTTGTTCTTGTGCATATTTAACAACAAACTTTTTTTGCAACTGCTGTAACTGCATTGAACATTTATCAAGCTTTGCTGATTTAGTAAACAGATTTTGTTCAAAGTTCTTTGCCTGAGAGAGAGAGGGAGAGAGAGCATTGGTATGTATGTATAAAGTCTATGAGCTAGCAAAGACTGTGTTCATCAATGCATGACAAATGATGTTTAGTCTCCATGTAAACAAGCAGTATGGATATATCCTTATAAGTCTCGATCATTTTTTTGTCATGCATCATGTTGTGGTGACATCGAGACATACTGGTAAACAGGTGTCACCTGATCTTATATCATCACAAAACTACACAACAACACTTTATCTATTGGCAGATAATACACTCTAAGTACCATACTCAAAATCTTCAAAAATTAACATGTTTCTCACTGTTTCTCATCAACTTGTACTTCCATAATATATGCTCCTCTATATCTCTCCAACTATATATATGTCAAATTTTCATATACTAAATACCTCTCTGTAATTTTTTTTAATCGAACACCTAGTATACAGGGTATAAACTACACAATCAAAATTAAACAACTGTTTTTAATAAGATCGAGATTAAGAGATGCCACCTGTTTTGAGTATTCATTAATAAGTAAGTGCCGAGTACTGGAATTTTGAACAAGTACCAGGTACTAGTGCATTAAAGTAAATTGGTGCAGAGGACATACACAAATTCCCTGTCACACTGAGATTGACACAGGCTGTAAATCCTATAAGTGCCATTATACCAATGTACAACTCAGACTTTTCACACACACACACAAAGCAATTAATAAAACATGCACCCTCCAAATGTCATAAATCAGTTACAAGTACTGTTATGGTATAATAGAACAATCTTTTCCCAGGGAAAATGTTTGCCTCAGTATTAATCTTTATCAATACATTAAAAAAAATTTTAATTTTTTTTTCTTCTTTTCTTAGATCTAAAAATAAGTCTCATATAGTGTGGAAAAGCGTACATTCTTTCACTGACATATATTATATATTTATTAAATAATTATATTAAACAAATTAAAAATCAATATTCAAAGCATTTCCTCCCAAATATAATATTTAGCATTCAGAATACAGGGTTTTCCTTCAGTGACAGGAGCTACACAAGAGGGGGCCTTATGACAGGGACCTGGGCGTGACGATGATTAATTATTCATTTCCATCAGGTCATTCTTGATTAACCTCAGATGCCACACACAGCTGTACAGGATCACTGTTAGTACTGTGGCAGAAAAATCAATCGCATGGATTAAAATTTAAAACCCTTCTTCACAGTGTGCACAGCAACCCCTATCTTAATTTCCATGTCTATTCATCACCTAGCTGTGGTAAGGATGATTTGGTGCATATGTACCCCATGACTAGTATGGACAATCCCAGTATGAATCAGGCCTGTCATTGATTTAATCTCAAGTTGGAAACAAATTGTGTCCCTAAAAATCTTAACTAATTAGGTTATTTTGTTATGTGATAAGTGTTTAAATAAGCATATTTCAGTGTACATGAGAAAGGTGCTATATTCTCCCATAAATTATGCAACATCTGTGTTATAGCTGCTGTTTTACATTGCATACAAGTAGTGTGGACACCTGATGGCACTATTAGGGAATTATATGCACAATCAATCGACCATAATCAGTCATCTTTCAGTCAGGCCAGCACTACTGATGCATGAACTGTCCTTCCAGGGCCAGAAGTGTCATGCATGGTTAATTCAATATGGTGAAGTCCTGTAAAAAGTAAGTGTCTAGCAGTTACAAAGCTGTTTTCATCTCAACCATGTAAAAACTTAACACCTGGTAAAATGTAATTGTAGAAATATGGCCATATTAAAGAATTCTCTGGTTGGCAGCTTTAATCACATATGGTGCTATCAAGAGATTGTGTCATTGGTTACTAAAATGACTTTAAAGGTTGTTGTTCATTTCAACATTTGCTGTATGTATGATTACTTCAGTTTTGCCTTATAGTTCTCTGGTCATTTCTTAGACACATTCATCACTTTGTCTAAGTAGAGAGGGTTCAAATCCCTAATGAATATTTTGACTAAACTGTTAAAGCATCTCACTTTGAATAAACAAACCATATTTGGAGAAAATGTTGAATATTGGACTGCAGCTCTACAGCATTTACTTGATATGTTCTGATCTAACAGAAGTAAGAAAGAGTTGGTCAGCTAGGATTCATCACTGGTCCAAGAAAAGTTAGGGTCAGGGTCAAAAAGTGTTCAGCACAGGTCCAAGAAAAGCAACCTGGATCAGCTAGCATTCATCACTGGTCCAAGAAAAGAAAATTGGATCAGATAGCACATCACTGGTCCAAATGAAGCAGAATCAGGGTCAAGGAGTAGTCCTCATTGGTCCAACAATAACAGAGTCAGGGTCAGGTAACATTTAATTATCACTGGTCCAAGAAAAGCAGACTGGATCATTCCTAACTGGTCCAATGAAAGCAGAGTGTGTCAGGTAGAAATCACCACTCATCCAACAAAAACAGAGTTAGGGTCAGGTAATATTTATCAAAGGTCCAACAAAAGCAGAATGGGTCAGCTGGCATTCATCACTGAGTGGTCCATACAAAAGCAGAATGGGTCAGGTTAAATACCATATCCCTGGTACATGTATCCTGAACAGCCCAAAATATAATACTTGAAGCTATTCCACTCAGCATACAGGGTATAATGTTGCAGCAGCCATGAATTAATCAACTACACTTCATTTAAAAATGTTGCATTCTTAATTTTAAGAAAACTGAGGGATAAGAGTTACTGCCCTTTGTTATCTCTCCATTGATTTTTGGTAACCTTTGATAGATGAAAAATAGGTGGCAAGTTTATTGACTCATTGTTTATGATAAAAGCATTAAGTGTTGTTTTATAAATATGATTTTAAATATGAAAACATTGCATTCTCTGCAGTCTACCTTTTCAGTTTTGAAATTTATTTAAAATTTATTTCCATAAGTTATTGAGAGAATGCAGGACTAATTAATTTAATGTAGAGTTGACACACAATATCTCACACACACAAAAAAGAGCTTCTGTAGAAACAGATGTCAGGTCTGCATGTGTGAAATCAATTCTACCATAATAACATAGTACATTAAATCAGAGACAAGGTGTGTGTCATTTCAATTTCATTTTGCCACAGTGGCTTGAGAAAATGCCACAAATGCTTTTAATATTGTGTTATTGGTAGTTGTCAAATAAGCTGATGGTAGTCATTAGAGTACAACATATAGGTGTAAGCTCTTCTTTACCTCTCTCTCTCTGCTTTAATAGAACTAGTAGGTCCTAGTAGGTCCTAATGCTTTGATTTAACTGAGGAGTATAATTATTTAGCATTTATATCTATGGACATTTTTTCATTATCTAGTAGTTATTTTGTGATCAGGTGAAATGTCTAGGAATTCCTCTGAATATTTTTAAATGGACCTTTTGAATACACTTGGAATGTTAATTTTACTGGTTAAGGTAGGATTTTGTTGTCTTGTTGTATATCCAATCATGTTGTGGAGATATCGCTATATATTGGGAACTTGGACAATGATTTAGAGGTATAAAACAAATATCCAACATCAGAGTCAAGTGGTTAGGGTGTGGTGAAGATCCCTACAGTGGCATGTGAATTAGGTCACGTAGGGAAAATCCTCTCGGAGCTAGCTCAGGTATGTCATCGGCCAGGTAAATGTCTGATAGAGACTACGGGAGTCATTTCTGTTTACCTGCACAAAGTTTGTTTTGCAATGTGTCATGTGCAATATTTGTACGAATATTTCATTGAGGTAAATGCAGGCTTTCAGTCAGGTTTGGCAGTATCTTGGATTTCTTGTACAGTATAGAAGGATATAATTAAGGTGAATAGGGTAAGTGTTTTTGATGCCTTTGTAATAGATAGGAGAAGTCTTTATATAATAAGTTTACATCAGATTTGGTGGTCATTGTGTTTGAATTATTATGTGTTAATCTGCACTTATGCAAGTGGCCATAATTTCCAGGTAAGATATTTGTGTACCTGTGACAGATCACCTGGATTACATACCTGTGTAATGATGTGGAACATACATAAGTAATACAGTATATCAACCAAAAATTAAATGTTTCTGATGGTCAACCCTCTTGTGAAATACAAGTGTAGACTTTCACATTCTATTTTTTTTTTTTTTTTTTTTTTTTTTTTTTTTTTACAAACATTGCTGGAGGAAGTTTACCAAACTATTGGATCACTAAAAATTACCTACTTTTCTTTAATATCAAAGATTTATATCATCCAGTAGATATAAAAAAGGAGGAAAAGTTTATTTAATAATTTTGCTCTGATTTAGAATTGTATCAGAATAAATATTTTATCTGAGAAATTTTTGTTCAGGTTAAAAACAGGTAAAAAAAAAAAAGATCCTAATCTGTTATCAGTATTACAAAATTACAGGACATGTACATAGTGGAGGTAATAAAATGTTTACAAACTGTGTCATAAATCATGAGTATTTATGTTTATTTACTAATTAAAATGGGATCACAAAAGAAAATATTTTTTGCCCATGCAGTCATAAGTCAGTGGCCTCATGCTAAAACACTTTGAGACTAATTTGTATGTTTACATGTGACCATGATATAATATCACTTGTTCAAAACAAGTCCTTGTGCAACAATTTTTTTTTTATCAGTATCAGATTAAAGAAGAGCTTGTTCATTTATCAATAGATCAACTGTGAAACTTTAGTTACGCAATAGATAGATACAAGTTTTCTATACATTTCCAGGAAAACATGTAATATACTCTTCTTGGAAAAACAAAACATATATATACTATCAACAAGGAATTATTTCATCATTTTATCTTGAAAGCAGTGGCTTTGGAAGTCAAAAATCATTAGAATATGTTTATGTATGTGTTACTAACCTTATCTTTTTAAGGTGCTCTAATCATCCTCTGTAGGTGCTCTATCTCCTATTTCTGTCCACTACATCCTCCTTAGGTGCTATATCTCTTATTGCTGTCTACTAAATCCTCTGTAGGTGCTCTGTCTCCTATGTCTGTCCACTACACCCTCTGTATGTGTTCTTTCTCCTATGTCCGTCTACTACATCCTGTGTAAGTGCTCTATCTCCTATTTCTGTCCACTACATCCCAGAAGATGCTATGTCCACTGCATCCTCTGTAGGTGCTCTATCTCCAATGTCTGTCCACTACATCCTTTGTAGGTGCTCTGTCTCCTTTGTTTGTCAACTACATCCACTGTAGTTGTTCTCTCTCCTTTGTCTGTCCACTACATCCTCTGAAGGTGCTACATGTATGTCCACTGCATCCTCTGTAGGTGCTCTGTCTTCTGCATCCCCTAGAGGTGCTTTGCCTATTGCATGTTTTGGAGATACATTGTCTACCAGTCTCTGGGGGTGCTCTGTTCCACTTCATCACCTGGAAGTGCTCTGTCCAACACATCCTTGGAGGTGCTGTGTCCACTTCATCCTATGGAGGTGTTCTGTCCAAGCTGCATCCTCAGAAGGTTTTTATTATTGAATCTTTTGGAGGTGCTCTTTTTACTACATCATCCTGAGGTGCTCTGTCCTCTGAATTTCTAAAAATTCTTTGTCTTTTGCATCTTTTGGAGATACATTTTTTAACCAGCCTCTGAAGGTGCTCTGTTCACTGCAACCTCTGGAAGTGCTCAGTCCACTCAAGCTTTTGAGGGTGCTCTGTCAATAACTTTTATTGGAGATGCTCCATCCATATTTTTTGTAGTGCTCTGTTCAGTACATCCTTTGGAAACACTCTTCTATTGCATTCTTTGGAGATACATTGTTCACCATCCTCTTTTGGTGCTCTTACCACTGCATACCGTATAAGTGCTGATTTAGCGAGATGCAAATTTAGCAATTTTTCCTAAAAATTTGATATTGTATTTTTGTGAGAAGTAATTTTAGCGATTTTGTGATACATAGAAAGATAATGATAACCTCCGATATGGAATGAATTGTTAGCGATATTAAATTTTAGCGATCTTTACAACCTCGCTAAAAATGCCAAAATTGAATCCTTGCTAAAATTTCTGCTTATACGGTATTTTGAGATGCTTTGTCTACTATATCCATTGGATATGCTTTGTCCACTCAGCATCTTGAGGTGCTCTACTAACTCAGATTCTATGACTGCCCTATACACTGTAGTTTGTTCACAACTGCCTTTAAAGTTCATTGCACCATCTGAAATAATTTTGTCTTAGTACAGTACATATACTACCAAATACCTTTGCTCTTTGAAAACTGACAAGAAATATTTGCTTATAAATGTTTCTGAAGCAGAATCAATAAAATGATTTAATACATAATAAAAAATGAAATACATTGTACATTTGAAGAATGCTTGTGAATTTTAGATGTTTATGAAATGTTTACTGATGAAGATTCAGTAGTTCTTTCAGTTTAGATGTCATTTCATTGAAATATTGTCATGTTTGCCTTGATATAGTGAACAGCAGAAGTATACAGAACAAGTCTGAGTCTGACATTGTTTTTATTTTTTATTATTTAATGATTCATGCAGTGCAAAATTTACTCTTTTGAAATGGCCTCTTTTAGTTCTGCTTGGTAATTGGGAAAAAGTATCACTGGGTACTTTGATTCATGTTTTTTTTAAAGAATGAAACATCAGCTACTTTAGAATGGTTACTTTGTTTCAGTGTTAAAATATAGAATTTATGAAGTCCTGATAAGCTGAAGTATTAAGTGTGGGTTATAGCTCAGACAAATTATTCACAGACAATTCTTGAGAGGTCCACTTTGTCCCATTTTGCCCTAGCTCCACAACCTTAACCTGTCTATGCTGTCGGTGACCCTGTCTGCAATTGTATGTGCTGTTGGTGTGTGTAATAAAACATGAGATAATTGGACACTCTCCATTCTATTATACCTGTGTCCCTTTTAACCTTGCTTAACATAATTTCTTTTTTACCTTCGTATGATTCCCTTCAAGTTAGGAAGAAGTGAATGCCCTTGAGAATGATGCTTGAAGGGCAAGCGGAACATTTTGATTTCATAAACTTCACTTATTAAAGTTCTTCCTATGACATCCCTTCCATTAATTGCTTTATTTAACAAACATGTACTATATGGCAATTAATCTTTGTAAAAAATATATAAAATCTGTTGCACTCAATATTTTTTATTTTGAAATGCACTATACAATGCTCTTTATTTGTGTGATTGTAAAATGAAAACTGGACTTTTACTCCACATTATTATGCATTAGAAATTCAGACTGAGATTATGATAGGAGGACATTTAAATGTCTAAATTCTTTATTTGTTTACTTTGATGTTATTAAGTCTAGTGAATTCTTTCCCATGTCCCTATCTCAGATAGACTAAAACAAATATTTTTATTTTTACAACCATTTGTTTGAACCATGAATTGAATGAACACACGTGGTATAGTAAATGACCCCAATTTTAAACAGAATCTAAAGCCTGTACACTTAACAATTTCCAATTTGTATCTAACATAAGAGAAAATAATAAACCAGAACTTCATCATTTTTTTTAAATCTCAAAACCTATTGCTTGTTGCATCAATAAACAAACACAATCTCTTTATTCTTTCATAGCTTAGTTTTTATGTTAAGGTTGCTGAATTATAGGACTATACACTATGAAAACTATTATTAATTAAACTTGTGATATTTATGCAAGAATGTTTTATTAAATTTTAATGTTGAAGACTTTAAGAAGACATATTCTGCTCTGAAGTTTGAATACATGATACTAATTCTAGAGTAACCTTTTCCACATGAAGTCAGTTGTATATGTGTTTGGGAATACCTCTTTGAAGTAGACTGATTCTTTTGTACTAACTGTGATACGAAGTCATGTGACTCATTGAAATATTTTAGATGATGGTGGATGTTTTACCAACAGAAGTTGCAGATTTGAGCTCACTGCGATCATGTCCGGAGTCTGACTCGGACAGTGACGACATTTTCAATGGAATCTCCCTTATGTCCAGTGAGGATATTGATGTGGCAAGCATGGACAGAATCGTAAGTTACTCTTGGCCTGCTCTCATATGTTTGATTTTCTTGTGTACTGTATTATTGAGGGTTTTAATAGCAATAGTCCATGAAAGAATGTTTCTATCTTCTCTGATACTGAAAAACTAACTTGCAGACATTACTGTCATATACTTTTTATGGCATTTAATACATGCATAAATATGCATGTCCTACTAAATTGATGTCAGAGAAAAATTTAATTTACAAATCTTGATCTTCTTGTATCTAATATTAATTAAAATTCTCAGATTAAGGCAAGAGTTTGCAAAATACAATCTATTTACATGTGAAAAATGCATGAGTGGATGTTAGAAGGTATTCTGGTTCAAAAAATGATAGCAAGACATTAAAAATACTGGTACCAGCAGTGTAGGGGAGATAACTTAGGTATGAGCTACACAAAACAAACAGTATTGAGATATATATTCACACTTTGACATGTTTGAGTCAAAGTGTGTTTTAGGATGGAATTGTGATCAATGGACATCAGTGTTTTACTTTTCAGTAAACATAAATGTACATCAATTATAATTCAATTTTAGATTATAGTGATTGTGATACTTGTAGTTTTCTGTTGTAGGACCCCTATCTCTCAGTAACTTTAATACCTTGATTTGTCTGTTGTAGGATCCAATTGTTACCCATAATTTTTCTGTTGTAGGACCCCTGTCTCTCAGTAACTTTAATATTGTGATTTGTCTGATGTAGGATCCAATTCCTTTGTTTACCTGTAATTTTTCTGTTGTAGGACCCCTGTCTCTCAGTAACTTTAATATTGTGATGTCTTTTGTAGGATCTGGTTCCTCTGTTACCTGTAATTTTCTTTTGTAGGACACATGTCTCTCAGTGACTGTGATGTCTGTAATATTCTGTTGTCAGTACCCAGTCTCTGTGACTGAGATACTTGTCATTTTCTGTTGTAAGATCCTGACCCTTAAGTTATTTAAACCTTTAATTTTCTCTTGTAGGACCCGGGTCCCTCAGTGATTGTGATACCTGTGATTAGTGCCCCAGTCTTTCTGGGACTGTTATGCCTTTATTTTTCTGTTGTAGAACCCCAGTCCCTCAGTGATTGTGATACCTGTGAGTAGTGCCCCAGTCTGTCTCTGACTGTTATACCTGAGTGTAATTTTCTGTTGTAGGACCCGGGTCCCTCAGTGATTGTGATACCTGTGAGTAGTGCCCCAGTCTCTCTGGGACTGTTATACCTGTAATTTTCTGTTGTAGAACCCTGGTCCCTCAGTGATTACGATACCTGTGAGTAGTGCCCCAGTCTTTCTGGGACTGTTATACCTTTATTTTTCTGTTGTAGAACCCTAGTCCCTCAAGGATTGTGATACCTGTGAGTAGTACCCCAGTCTCTCTCTCTGACTGTTATACCTGTAATTTTCTGTTGTAGAACCCCAGTCCCTCAGTGATTATGATACCTGTGAGTAGTACCCCAGTCTCTCTGTGACTGCTATACCTTTAATTTTCTCTTGTAGGACCCCGGTCCCTCAGTGATTGTGATACCTGAGCCTGGAATTCTGTCTGACCTAATCAGTGAAAGACTTCATGCCCTGGCTGATGATTACAGTGAGGAACCATCTCTTGACCAATGTGCCAAATTCTACCAGGAGTACAGGGAAGACGTCGTAGCCAATGAACGTCTTCTCTCCGACTCATCTGACAGCATGGACACAGATGAGGAAGAGTATGTCCAGCGAAGGAAACTCAAAAAACGTGTCCGATGGAAATCAAATATTTCAGGTGAGTCCTTTTGTAAACATGAGTTATTACTTTATCTTAAGTCAAGCATTGACATAAACATGCAAGTATGGATTTAGTGAATGGAAATGAATTTCAAAATATTTTGGTGTCATTTTTCTAAGTTTCCTTACAATTTATAGATATTGACATCTCTTTAAAAAGTTAAGAGTTTAATTTACAGGACAAGAAAACGAACACTATTCAAGTACTTCAGTTTTTAAATAAATAGCCGTCTTTAACAAAAAAAAAAACAACTTTAAGTAACTAAAACAAAACTTTTACTATCTGCACCCTGTTAGGATTTTTCCTCCCATGAATTCAGTCATCAACATTTACAACACTGGTTAAAGTATGTCGAGAGTGTGAATTGTTTCCTGTGAACATAATCTAAATACAGCTTTTAAGGAAACCACTCGTTATTGCTGCTGTCAAGTTAGTAGCCACTTGAAACGAATCTTGGTCATCAAAGTGAAGGAAGAAAGATAACTCTTACAAAACCCAACTACTGATCAAGTGATCATCAATATCCAGGTGATCTGGTTTTTGAAGTGTCATGAAAATTATTGATAAATCCATTCATGAAAGAAGAAGACAGTGTAAATTACTGAACTTCATTGCAGCGGATTTTATTAAGAGACATGGACTTTTCAAAATATCTGCACAAGCCTAACATTCTGGTGTATTTATTGATTACGGTAGCAGAAATATTTATCTTAAACATTATTTACTAGATCTCTACTAAATATTACACGCTGAGAATCACCTTGTTATTTTTTTCAAGATACTTTGAGATGTTTGAAAATACGAATGGACATATATGATGTAAGTAGTGTTCTTTCTTGGAAGCCAGAAGCGTGTATTTTTAATATATTCGATCAGTGCATATTATCTATTCAAGATATATTACTAAAGTCAGGTACTCTTCACACAATTGCTCCGAAGAAAATAGTTCCATTCATGATCAGTAGATAAAACATTAGAACAAATATTAAGAATAATCATGTATATTTAATACGTTAAAGAAAACAAAATTAACGTTAAAAGATTTTAAGAAAATCACTTTTTCCCCAAAAAAGCAAATAAAAAGTTTTCATATTCCTACGCTCGCTGCCTCCTCAGTCTTTTTCACGAAAATATATAGGTCACACTTCGATTGATTATGATAAATCTTTTCACCAATTATATTACATGTCATGATTGTCATGATTATTGTTCGTTAATTGCCGTATATTGTCTTTTGAGTTAGAATGTTAATCATTAACTGTGTGTGTGTTTTTCTCTCTCTTTTTTTAAATAACGGAATGGTTATTATGGTTAAACACTTCTCGGCAAAGCAACGTGATTTTCCGAGCTCGGAAAGATCTTCGCACGTGTGTAGACCTAGGCTATTTGGTCTTGCAAGAATAGGTGTGTGCACCGTTCCCTAGTGACGCTTAGATCAGTAGACTGGGTATCAATACTTGCTACGGACATAAAGAAGTTTAGAACTATACACCAGTTTCATAACAAGTGCAGGTTTTTTACTCAAGGTGAAGCCTTATACGGGCTAGAGGGGCTGAGTTATGGTCATCGATCTAACACGAAAATGTACTAGTTTTGTAAATAAAAACATTTCTAGAAACAAAAATGAAGTTTATCTTCAAAACGTCTGTATATTCAAAATCAGTATGTGGTGGAGGAATATTCAGTGATGCTCCATAGCCGCAACCGATCCCGCGCTTTCCTTTGCGTTTAACAACGGCCGTCAATGCATCACTGGACGAGTTCATTGATTACTTTAAAAGGTGACAGGTTGGACCATCTTTAACATCTGCCTATACTTTGAGTGATAGTACTTTTTAATAGCACAAAATTAAAAAATAAATTAAAATCTATCCTTGATAGATCTATAGTTTTGCTATTTATAAAAATGGGCTATCTTTGATAATCCATAACGGCTTGGACTTGTTTTGATTTTTTTTTTACAGAAGATTCTATCATTGGAAAGTTATATAGATGGTACACATGTAGCACAGGCCCATAGTACGCGGGATTTTTTGGGAGTCCCCCCCCCCCCCCCCATCACTTTGAAAACGTTGCTATAGACCTGTAACATGCTATTTGGATTAAATATTCCTGAAAATGAGTGAGGCGTTAAATACATTTTTAAAATTATACGATTAATTATATTTAGTTTATGTTCTATGTGAAATTAAAACCATTTTTATGCATGTGCAACTTTGTGATAAAGTCACTACATGCATGTAACGTTATATATGTACATGCAGTTTGTTTCCTACTATATGCATATTTTACTCAACAAAAGATGTTGAAACTCAGTAGCCTAAATATTATGTCATTTTAGGATATTTATGTATATGGCACTTTTATAGTTGACTTTCTACAGCTTGAGTATCTCTGACGTTTTGTCAGTAAATACTTGTTTTTTTTTTTATTAGAAATCATCTGAACACAATGAAAATTCGAATAAATTAAAAGTCGAATATCTTGGATATGGGGTAACCCATATCTATTCTTGTAATCACTGTACCGAGCGCACCTGGTAGCGGTGGGAAAAAAATTACTCCGCGCTCAACGTGTTCCAACAAAAACACAAACACAAATAACTGTTTTCAGTTATGTCTTACTTATTAGTGGGTTATGATGTTTTAAATATAGCAAATTAATCATAACCTATGCCCATTTGGATAAATATTCTCAGGATTTGTAATAATGAAAAGAAATCCTAAGGATTATTTTCTTCTCCAAGTTTATTTCCGGCATGTTCACCTTCATGCGCGGATAGAATTGGTACCCTATCAAAAAATGGCAGCAAGTTCAACTACAAAGAGCAACCTTGATCTTTTGATCCTAGCAGGTAAAACTACTTAACTAAGTGTGTAGATAGATAACTGACAAAATCTCACAACAAACTTTTATGCCGTTTCATTCATATAATGAAACTTTTTTATTCCTAGTTCTTGTTACCTACGCAACCAGGAAGTGGAGATAAAATTACTCGCTTCCGGGGTTTATTAAAAAGTATATTAAAATCTTTTTAACCGAGTTATGGTCACTGTTTACCTTTGTCAGCAATGTCACAGATATGACGAGCAGTCTATACTTATCAGGGTCTGTCATCCGCAGGTGTTTTAAAATTATGTTTTGCAACGTGTAGGAACAGCACACGTGGTTATCAAAGACATAAATATATCAGTATGTTTAATGTAATCCCAGAACATCTAACCAACAAATAAAAAGTTTTTATAATACTTAACATGAAAAAAAAAATAAATATCAATATTGGGTAAGAATATCACAGTTAAACAAAAATGATTTAGGTAATACCTAACTGCATACATTTGTGTTTTGATTTCCTACCATCACGTCATATTAAATGTTGTTGATGTTTTTAATTTTTATGCCCCGCCATGAATATGGCCGGGGCATATAGTGTTTGTCATGTCCGTCTTCCGTCCTTCCGTCCTTCTGTCCTTCCGTCTGTCCTTCCGTCACACTTTGCGTTTAGCTCTGTTCAAAGCTCAGTTTCAAAGAAACTATCCAAGATATTTTTATCAAACTTCATATGCTGATAGATATTGATGAGGGCTATGCAACTGCATCAACATTTTTTGACCTCGACCTTTCTTTTGACCTTGACCTCACTTTTCTTAAATTAGTGTTTAGCTCAGTTTTAAAGATACCATTCAAGATAGTGTAATGAAACTTCATATGTTGATACCTACTGACGTAAGCTATTCAACTGCATCAACATTTTTTGACCTTGACCTTTCTTTTGACCTTGACCTCACTTTTCTTAAATTAGTGTTTAGCTCAGTTTTAAAGATACCATTCAAGAAAGTGTAATCAAACTTCATATGTTGATACATACTGATGTAAGCTATTCAACTGCATCAACATTTTTTGACCTTGACCTTACTTTTCACCTTGACCTCACTTTTCTTAAATTGGTGTTTAGCTCAGTTTTAAATATACCATTCAAGATAGTGTAATCAAACTTCATATGTTGATACATACTGATGTATGCTATTCAATTGCATCAACATTTTTTTGACCTTGACCTTTCTTTTGACCTTGACCTCACTTTTCTTAAATTAGTGTCAAACTTCATATGCTGATACGTACCGATAAGAGCTATTCAACTGCATCAATATATTTTGACCTTGACCTTTTCTTTGACCTTGACCTCACTTTTCTTAAATTAGTGTTTAGCTCATTTTTAAAGAAACCATTCATAATATTTTCATCAAACTTCATATGCTTATACATACTGATGTAACCTTTTGAACTGCATCAACATTTTTTGACCTTGACCTTTCCTCTGACCTTGACCTCACTTTTCTTAAATTAGTGTCAAACTTCATATGCTGATACATACCGATGAGAGCTATTCAACTGCATCAATGTCTTTTGACCTTTACCTTTCCTTTGACCTTGACCTCACTTTTCTCAATTTGTGTTAAAATGTTGCATTACTAATATACCCTCGGCGGGGCATTCATGTCCTATGGACATATTTCTAGTTAATGATGTGTTTGCATGCAGAAATGAGTTTTTTGAGTTTTCAAGTTTCTTTATTTCCTTAAGCCAACTGGCTCATCAGAATAATAATACAATCATGTTATTAAGGAAAAAAGAAAACAAAATCATACAGAGAGAGTGAACATAAAAAATACATAGATGAAAACTTAATACTATAGTCTTATACATTGATATTATTTTTTCTTAACAATGTGGCAGCATTCAAAAATTTGCCCAAATTTAACAGATCTTTAGTTTTATTAGAACTTAACAGTTGAATTAATTTAAAGGCACTAGGCTTGTTATAATAAAACTTTTTCAAAAATTTCTCTTTTAAATCGATATACAAAGGGCTTTTCAAAATAAAATGAAATTCGTCTTCTATATCATGGAGATTACAACATCATGTACATAATCTATTAATCTTTGGTATGTTATGGTATCGTCCTGTTTCAATATTCAACATATGATTTGATGAA